CAGGCAAAAAATGTCAAGTATCTGCCCCCCCCCCGGCCCAGCAGATTGGGGGGAGGGGCAGGATTCAAGTATCAGATGGGGGGGCTGGGTGCTCAGGTGCATTGGAAGATTTCGGGGGGGGGGGACGAGCTGTTGCCCCCTCAAAAACGGGGGCTAAATGCCCTTTACTGTCCCCCCCCGATTCCCAAGGGGGTCAGAGGTCAAAGGGGCCGGACCCCCCCCAAAACAGCAGGTATCTCTGGGCGGGGGTCCCTGAGGAGGAGCCTGTGTGCTGGCTCCGCCCCTCTCAGTGCAGTCCCCGCCCCACAGGGGGAGGGGCTTAAGGCTCTCTGGCTTCTGACCTTCCCTCAAGGGGAGGGGCATAATGGATTTGACACCCCCCCCACCTCACTTCCTCCTATGAAAAGGGTGGAGCTGGAAGGGGCCCCCCCTGCCCCCGCCCTCACCTGGATGCACCCAGAAGGGGGAGGGGCACATGTCCCGGCTCCCCTCTCTCAGGCCCCGCCCTAGGGGGAGGGGCTTCAGTGCTTGGCCACACCCTCTGCGTGTCATGGGCCTGAGACTCTATGCCCACCCCCCACCCCAGGATGGGAGGGGGTTCTTCCCAAGGGGGCGGGGCTTAGGGGGAGGAGCAAGAGAGCCTGAGCAAGGAGGGCAGGGCCTGTGCTCCTGGGACATGCCCCCCCAAGGGGGAGAGACCCTGCCCCCCGCCCCTGTGTCGCTCATGGTCCAGCCCCCTCCGGGATGGGAGGGGCTTACGGACACAGTTTCAGCCACACTGACCAGGAGGAAAGGGCGGGACCTAGAGCGGTGGGTGGGGCCTGGAGCAGTGGGCGGGGGCCCTCAGTCGTGCCCGGCCTCGCTCAGGGGCATGTGGCGGATGGTGTGGAAGATCCAGTCCATCTTGGTGGTCCAGCCGCCGTGGTGGGCCTCATTCATCTGCTTCGTGAAGTACTCGAGCGCCTCTGGCTCAGCCTTGTCGAGCGCCAGCGTCTTGCGCAGGTAGGCGATGTCGTCAAACGACTGCAGCTCCGGCAGCCCCGAGCTCAGCATCAGCGAGAACAGGCTGATCAGCAGGTTGGCGTGTTGCCTGATGGCAAGGTACGCTGCGTAGCACATCTCCTGGAACCTGCCGGGCGCAGCGCGGGGTCAGCACCCTGGGGGCCCCAACCCAGCTGGGGGAGCTGGGGGGTCAGAGCGGGGGGGGCTGGGAGCCAGGACTCCTGGGTTCTCTCCCCGGCGCTGGGAGGGGGGGCTGGTGGGTTAGAGCAGGGGGGGCTGGGAGCCAGGACTCCTGGGTTCTCTCCCCAGCACAGGGAGGGGAGGGGGGCTGGTGGGTTAGAGCAGGAGGGGGCTGTGACATTATTGACATAATCTGGGACCATATAGAACATGGTGGCAACCAAGGTCCTGTAGTGGCACCAAATCTTGTATAAAGGGGGTCAAATGAGGTGTCTAAGACAAGGTTATGGTTTGCTGGTTATGATTAGTCTGTCTATACGTGTGTATCAATTTTGTAGTTGAAGTTATGAATATCGGCTCTATACTGTCTGTATTGCAAACTTATGCTATGCTGCTGGGTGACATCCCAGACAAGCTGGTGTTAGCTCTGCCTAGCCTGCTTGATGGCCCATTAAGGACCATCAGCTACACAACTGACCCATGGAGAGAAGGCAAATATGCCTTGAGACTCAGCAAAGTATGCAGGAACTTGCCCATGTGACTCCAGACTCCATTTTGCTGTAATTTTCCATAGTAAGAACAAAGAGGTGTTCTTACACCTGGAAAAGACTATATAAGGCTGATGCCTCGTCTCCATCTGGTCTTCAATCCTGCTTCATACCTCTGGAGGGACTTTGCTACAAACGGAAGCTCTGAACAAAGGACTGAAGGACCCGTCCCAGCTGGGGATGTTCCAGAGACTTGATTTGAACCTGCAGCTTATCCCATCCCAGCTACAAACCTGAACCAAGAACTTTGCCATTACTGGATGTCATTGATTCCATGTAACCAATTCTAGCTCTCATCTGTATCTTCTTCCTTTTATGAATAAACCTTTCGATTTTAGATTCTAAAGGATCGGCAACAGCGTGATTTGTGGGTAAGATCTGACTTGTCTATTGACCTGGGTCTGGGGCTTGATCCTTTGGGATCGGGAGAACCTTTTTCTTTTACTGGGGTATTGGTTTTCATAACCATTCGTCCCCATAACAAGTGGCACTGGTGGTGATACTGGGAAACTGGAGTGTCTGAGGGAATTGCTTGTGTGACTTGTGGTTAGCCAGTGGGGTGAGACCAAAGTCCTCTCCATCTGGCTGGTTTGGTTTGCCTTAGAGGCGGAAAAACCCCAGCCTTGAGCTGTAACTGCCCTGTTTGAGCAATTTATCCTAAATTGGCACTCTCAGTTGGGTTCCGCCAGAACCGCATCGTTACAGGGGGTGGGAGCCAGGACTCCTGGGTTTTCTCCCTGGCTCTGGGAGGGGAGTGGGGGCCGGTGGGTTAGAGCAGGGGGGGCTGGGAGCCAGGACTCCTGGGTTCTCTCTCCGGCTCTGGGAGGGGGGCAGGAGGGGCCTCACCTCTCGAACTCCTTGGTCTTGGTGCTCTCCTGCACCCCTTTGCTGATGACGAGCAGGAAGTCCTGCGTGAGGACGAAGGGAACCCGCTCCCGCTTGTAGCCAAATTTCTTCTTCTTGTGATCCAGGAAGTGGCCGAAGTCGATGTGGAAGAGCTGGGAGAAGGGCAGGGTTGGATGATGAATGGGACACGGGGCCTGTCGCCTCTAGGGGGCGCCGGCTCCCACCTGGCCGCAGGGCGGGGACTGGCTGGCTCAGGAGAGCAGGGAAGGGGGTGTGGGGGGGTCTCACCTGCCCGTCGTCCTTCACCATGATGTTGCTGTTGTGCCGGTCGCCGATTCCCAGGATGAAGGTGGCCACGCAGTACCCGGCGCACGAGCGGGTGAACAGGTCGATGGCGTTGTCGTAACTGAATCAGAGCACCTGGAGTGAGTCGCCTCCCCTGACCCGGCTCTACCCAGCTCCCCACCCCACAGCACCCCCATCCTGCCCCCCAGGCCGGAGCCCCGGACCCAGCCTGACCTGTCCCCCTTGTTCTTGTCCTTCAGCCAGTGGTGCAGGGTGTGGCTGTTAAACTGGAGCGCCCCCTTCAGGCCGCCCTTGCACTGGATCTGCATGATGGTGTGCGAGCTCTTCACCACCTCGATCAGCCCCACGCAGTCCCCGATGGACAGGCAGCCGTAGGGCAGCATCCTGAGGGCAGAGGAGGGAGGATTAGGCAGGGACCCCCCTCGCCCGGCGCGGAGATGCGGCCACCTCTGGGGCGGGGTGGCGGGTTACCCAGGGACCCCTTGCCCGGCGCTGAGATGCAGCCACCTCTGGGGCGGGGCGGCTGGTTACACGGGAACCCCTTGCCCGGCGCTGAGATGCAGCCACCTCTGGGGCGGGGCGGCTGGTTACACGGGGACCCCTCGCCCGGCGCTGAGATCCGGCCACCTCTCCCAGTGACCCCCCCACAAATCCCATTCCCCCCCCCC